AAATTGAGAAGTTACTGGCAGAAAAAAGCTCAAACGTAACGTACTACGTACTGTTGGCCACGCTGGCGACCTCCACAGAAGTCGCATATAAACTGCTGTTGCTGCTGTTCTAGTGTGGACAAGCGTCCTTAGTATGTAGCGAAACCGCTGTGGGTGACACCAGGTTGCTGAGCTGGCTGTGATTGTTGCCAATTTTTAAAGAACTCTAGACAGCTAGTGAGGAAATTAGGTGGATCCTCATCGGTCTGTTCATGCTGGACCAGGATTGATTGGATGGCTGCTGCGCATCCAGGGTTTACGTCCGAAATTGCCGACACGAAGTCATAGTGTGGTTGATATTCTGTCACATTTAGCAGGTGGACTGATTTAGCATCAATATATGCGTTCCTGTACGCTGTGATCCATTGGTCCTGTTTCATTTTTGATGACCACTTCCTTGCGCGGTCGTATGCTGTTTGTGCGCTCTGCTTGAGCTGCTTGTTAGAGGGCTCTAAGATTGCCCTTAAGGCCTTTAGCCTTTTGTAGATTGTTTCTTTGTCCCTAATAATAGGGTAGTTTAATGCGTTAACAGTGCTCTTAATAAGCACATAGATGTCTAATAGGGCTTTGTGTTGAGTTTAGAATAACCTTAGATTATCGCGGTAGTCTTTGCGGGCTATTGTGTAGCATTGTTGATTGTTAAGGTTTAGGTCAGAGACCATAGGATTCGGACTGAGCTGGGTGCTGCCTGTATGAAACTTCGCGACCTTAGGCCTCTGTGGCATAGTGTTAACTAGGAGATTTTCTGGTAAGAGATCTGGATTAATATACTCCTAGACACATTCTCTAGTTGCTTGTGTCTTGATGCGACTGAACTAGGGCTGCTAGTTGCTCTTTTTAGTGAGCTGTACGGAGGCATTAATAGTAGGAGTTATCTTTGGTGGACGAAAAGGTTGTCGTTCGGTTGATCAGGCTCAGCTGGTGAGCAATCTGTGATCGATGTTTTGGAATGGACAGAAGGTTATTGTCCTGTTGATCGGGCTTAGGTGGTGAGCAATCTGTGATTGATATGTGTAGAATGGACGGAAGGTTATTGTCTAGTTAATTAGGCTTAAGTGGTGAGCAATCTGTGATTAATATGTTTTAGTATAGACAGAAGGTTATTGTCTAGTTAATTGGGCTTAAGTGGTGAGCAATCTGTGATTAATATGTTTTAGAATGGACGGAAGGTTATTGTCTAGTTAATTAGGCTCAGGTGGTGAGCAATCTGTGATTGATATTTGTTGAGGTTTGCGGGGCCTTGAAGCTGGATGCAAAAGCTAACTGTGCAGTGGTGACTAGAGGACTAGTTAGGAGCGCGACTCTGGGCTTATAACTCTTACATGAGCTGAGGAGGGGACATATGGCAAACAACTTGACAAGGGAGCGAGATCTAAACAAGGTGGAATGAGTGTATTGTAAGGTCTGAGGAGCTTGATAGAGCTCTGAGCTGACTATATACTGTACGAGACAGGAGCTATGCCTAATGAGTGAATAGTGCAGTACATGGGTATGATATCGCGTGAGACACGTGCGACAGCTGCTGCGCCAATGGCAGTGCGCGCATCCTGCAAAGGAAAACTTACAATCAAATGCACAGTGGCTAGGCTAGAGCGTTGATGCCCTAAGCAGAGCTAGGAAGTAGGGAAACCTGTTGCGTTGGTGGTGGTGGTGGTGGTGGTAGTCGTAGTTACGGTGATGGTGGTAGTTGAAGTCGTGGTCGACAGTCGGGGCTGGTAGCTGCCGCGCCAATGGCAGAGCCAGTGCGCGCATCCCCGCAAAGGAAAA